GAGGGGGCAGAGAGATTTTGTATTCATTTTATTTTATTTTTTATGGTGGGGGGAGGGGTTGGTTGGCTGTAGACCCGTGCCTGCTTTGTGCTGGGTATCACTAACAATCAATGTGATTCGAGTGGATGACATTATTAAGTGATATGTTCTTATTCAACTTCTTTCTGGTTTATTTTTAACTCCATTCTCCCTTTTCTTTCAGATTTTCACTGCGGGTGATTGGAGGGCGTGGCTGGTAGGTTTTTCTCCTTGATTCTTCTCTTTCCACCGTGTTGCTTCTGTCCTTTTTACCCTTTTCCCTGCACAAAATGTCAGTTATTGTGTCAATGTGCTTCTCTTTACTCAAACAAACAAATAGATTCTGATTTTCTCAAGTTTAGCCCCTCCTCCTTGTGTTGAAAACGCAAAAAAAAAGAAACGGTATAGATTGTATGGGAAAAGAAATCACTCATGGCTGTGATGATTTTTCTCCCTTGTTTCTATTGTTGGATCAGAGTGTTGGAAGATTGAGTTGTTGTTTTCGTAAAGGCAGGCCACTCCTTTATTTCTTTGTGTTATCCACATTGTTATGTCCCCAAACGAAGACGTACTACAATTATGTACAAGCCGAGACCTGTTAACTCTCTCTGTCCCTAAATTAATTGTCAGTGCAGGTGGTTGGCGGGTGCTCTGTGTGGTTTGCTTCTTCTTTCCTATCAAATACCTGTCGTCCTTTTCTGCCCGCCTTCTATTTTGTGTTTGTTACTTTCTTGTAACTCCTCTAATCGTCGGCACTTCTATGAACTTATTGTGTTGCAAGTGCCGTAAAATTCTTACTAATCAATATAATTCGTTCAAACGACACAGAGAAAGGCTGTAATACATTAGGAGTGGTTTGGGGGGGTAGTGCACCACATATCCACACACTGCGCGGCATTTGCGCGGAGGTGTTGACATGACAATGTTACAGGATTGTCATGAGACATTAATGGGTGGTTGTTGCAGGAGTTGTGTTGTTTGAGCTGGGGGTTTTCTCCATAGGAACGCAAAATTATTAATATCCCCCCCCGTTATTTTTACGCTTGTCGAAGTGTTCTTTAATGCCTCAACTGTTTTGTCGCCTTGATATGCTATTTCTGGTATGTTTTCTGTATGCTTTGATGCGGCGAACTCTTTCTCTAGCTCTTTTATTATTCATCCTGATTTTTTTAGGCCTTATTTGCATTCTCTGTTCGGATGACAAGCCGGGTACACTGCTTGTTTGTGATTGTCTGTACGTGTCTTTTTATCCCAGGACGAATGGACATTTTTCTGTCGATTCTTTCTTTTGACCTCAGACATGTTTCATGGAGACAAGTTTTATCGAGTGTCTTTGTCGTTTTGCTGGGATGTTGTATCCCTCAGCCCGGTTGGCCCTGATAGGCAGAGTCGAAACCGCCTCCTCAACAGTCTAAATTGTATTGACAAGGGCGTTTAACTCCTGCATTAAAATAGAAATGCTCTCATGGCCCCCGAAAAAAAACCCCTCCCCTATGCCTTAAAATTAAAACTGAAAGAGAAAAAGTGTGGTTATAGTTTTGTTCGTCCTAAGTGATTTTTGCCTTGTGGTCAATGGAACAATAATGCAATACGGACCTCACATTTTTGCCCCCTCCTGTGTTGTTACAGAACACCTGTGGTTGGTCCAACTTCTTTACTACCATTTTTGATTGTATGCCCGTCCGTTTGCGGGGCCGGGGGGGG